CGCTATGGGTCGGAACCGACTCGATGGCACATAACAACAACAACAACAATAGTTCAATAGTTAATTCCTTCAATGTCCAGGAATACCAAACAATATTTGAATTCCTTTGTCTTCATGCTGCTAAAATCTTCAACAATATTCTCTTCTTTTCTCTAAATCCTCTAAATTAGTTGATTCTACATTTTCTGAGTCACTTCAGTTCTTTCTTCCAAATGTTGGATTCCTACAATATTTACAAATTTTACCATTTAATTTAGTAGTGTATATATCCTCATATTGTTGTTATGTGCTGTGGAATCAGTTCCGACTCATAGCGACCCTGTACAGGGTTTCCAAGGCAGTAAATCTTTACGGGAGCAGTAAGCTATAGGAGTTCTGGTAGCGTAGTGGTTAAGAATCAGGCTGTGAACCGCAAGGTCAGCAGTTCGAAATTATCAGCAGTTCCACGGTAGAAAGATGAGGCGTTCTGCTCCCGTAAAGATTTACAGCCTCGGAAACCTTGTACAGGGTTGCTATGGGTTGGAACCGACTCCATAGTACTCAACATGAGGAACACAACATACCCTCATATAAGTAAATGTATTCTACAAAACCATAAAAACCTTTATTAAACAAAAATACCAAAATGAAGCCAGTGTTCTTGAACATATCCTCCATCTGGGTCTCTACACTTCTGAATGCAGTGTTTCCATCTCTCTGACCCTTCCCAAAAGAATTTTGCACTCTTCGATTTATACCAGCTCAAAACAACAGTTTTAGCATCCGTGAGGGACGCAAATAATGTTTCTTTTATTCTTTGAGTTTGGGGAACAAAAGGAAGCACAAAGACGTAAAATCAGGATCCGGTAAGGTTCCCCAATGAAAGTCTTATATGATAGCCCTTGCTACCTTTGAAGAATGTACGTGCATTGTCATGATAGAAAAAAAATCCTCAATAGTATTTTCTAGGCCTTTTTCTTACCAATGCATTTTCAATTATCTTAAAACTTCATAATAAGTTTCCATAATTTTCTTGTGTCCTTTGAGAGCATCTGTCAAAATTATTCCTTTGGAATTCCAAAAGCAGTTAACATAACCTTCTGAGATGACTTTCTGCCTAGAATTGAACTGGCCCAGCAGATCCCCTTAGAAACTACTTCTTTCATTGCATGTTTTCTCTGAATCACATTGGTAAATTTAAAGCTCATCCCTGGTTACAATTCACTTCATAAGCTTCAATCTTGCTTAAAAGACTGATGCAAAAATCAGCTCTTTGAGCTAGCTGATCTTCACATAAGGCGATTTTTTTAGTCCTGGTGTGACAATGGGGGTTAATGTTTTGGACTTCAAAGTAAGTTTGAACAGCAAGATTGACTGTTAAAGCTCACTAGCCACTCCTCGGAAACCCTATGTAAAATCGCTATGGACTGGAACCGACTTGACGGCATTAACCATAACAACAACGAGTGTATTACAGAGGAACTTATCTGTAGCTAGCTATACACTGATCATAGCCCTGTTTAGACATATTTTGTTTGGAATAAATACATGCATGAATGAACTGGAATACTAGCTGTTGTTAAGTGCCATAAAATCAGTTCCAACTCATAGAGACCCTTACATAGGGTTTCTGAGGAACAGCTGGTGGGTTTGAACCACTGACCTTGTAGTTAACAGTCGAGTGCATACCCTACAGCACCACAGCAATACTCTGGAATATTAGTAGCAATATTTTTTTACTTACCCTCACATACTCTTACTATACATTGTTCACTATTGTTTTCTTTATGTTGGTCTTACACTTCCCAACTTGATCATAACTGAGACTGAGCTCATGTTTTTATACCTCTTTGTGTGTCACTCACTGCACTTTGCAGTGTGTTAAAAAAAGAAATAGATGTTTAAAGAAAGTAGGTGCCTAATGAATACTTGCTAACCTAGTGTAGTGGGTTTACACATTGGGTTGCTAACTGCAAGATCAGCAGTTTGAATTCACCAGTTGCTGTGCAGGAGAAAGAAGAAGCTTTCTGTTCCTGTAAAGAAACAGGAAACCATGTACAGAGGCACTATAAGTCAGAAGCAACTCGATGGCAGACAACAGCAGAAGCAACCAGTCACTGTGGTGTCAATTCCAATGCATGGAAACCTCATGTGTTTCAGAGTAGAATTACTCTCTAGGGTCTTCATGGCCATGATTTCAGAAGCAAATCATCAGGCCTGTCTTCTGTGGCACCTTTGGGAGGGGTCAATCTGCCCATCTTTCACTTAGTAGCTGAGCACCTAACCATTTGCACATCCTTGTTGTTGTTAAGTGCCGTTAAGTCAGTTCCAACCCATTGCGACCCTGAACAGGGTTTCTGAGGCTGTAAATCTTTACGGGAGCAGAAAGCCTCATCTTTCTCCCATGGAACAGCTGGTAGTTTCGAACTGCTGACCTTGTGGTTCACAGCCCGATTCGTAACCACTACGCTACCAGAGCTCCTATTTGCACATCCTAGGGTATCCTAATTACTTGCTACATTGGTGGGAATTATTCTGTCCACTGATTCCACAGTACACTTTTTTCAGATCAATAATTACTTCACACATTTGTCAATTAGTTTCCATTGAGTATAATGGCAGTCAAAATAAGAGCTATTAAAAATATAATAACCAAAGTTTAGCAAGCACTTTAAATATAAGGGGCTTCAAAAACTTTATGGAAAAGTTGACCTAAAAGATAATGAAATTTTCCTAAGAACTTTCTGAAGTGTCCTTGTATAAAATGTAGTAACTTTTCATATCCAAAAAGCCAATAAGCAGACTCCTAAGGAGTCTATATTTTCAGTTTTCTCCTAAGGAGAAAATTGAAAATGCTATGGGCTGCCAAAAGAACCAATAGATCTGTTTTGGAAGAAGTGCAGCCAGAGTGCTTCTTGGAGGCCAGGATGGCTAGACTTCGCCTCTCATACTTCGGACATATCGTCAGGAGGGACCAGTCGCTGGAGAAGGATATCATGTTTGGTAAGGTGGAGGGACAGAGAAAGAGAGGAAGACTCCCAACAAGATGGATTGGCTAAATGGCAGTATTAATGGGCTCAAGTGTGGCAACAGTAGTGAGGTTGGCCCAGGATCGGGCAGTGTTTCGTTCTGCGGTGCATAAGGTCGCTATGAGTTGGTACCAACTTGATGGCACCTAACAACAAGGAGTCCCTGAGTGGTGCAAATGGTTAAGCACTCAACAACTAGCCTAAGGTTCAAACTCACCAAAAAGCACTTTGGAAAAAAGGGCTGCCAAACTGATATCAAAACGCAAGAGCCTGGAAAAGCCTATATAGAAGTCCTACTCTAACACACATAGGGTAGCCATGAGTCTGAGTCAATTCAAGGGCAGCTAACAACTAGCATTTAATGCAGATACCTTCGTTCTCTTTTCATTAAATGAGTAGTTACTTTTACTCATTTTGCTATAAATAAATCTTAGATGAAGAAAGGCTATAAAATAAATATTTTACTAAGACTAACACTGGACTACAAAACACAGGTTGATTTGAGTCAACCAACTGCTCTGTGCGAAAAATATAAGGCTTTCTGCTCCCTTAATGATTTACAACCTCAGGAACCCTATACAGTCACTGTGAGTTGGAACTGACTTGATAGCACTTCATAACAAGAACAAATTAACAACTGCAAAGACTAAAATAAAGCTATTCTGTAGTTTTGCTATAATACTAATCTTAAAAAAAAACATGTTATAGCAGAGCCAAGATCTTTGAAAATGAAAAACCAAATAAATCCTTGGACAGGATTCAAGCTAAGACAGTGTTGTACTAAGATGTTTTCTGTTATTAAGTGTTACATGATAAGATAAAAATGCTAAGCACAGATAGAATGTATTAACAATGAGATAGGTAAAAAGGAAATTTTTGTTGTTTGCCATTGATTTACTTCTGACTTACACAGATCCTGCATAAGGTTTCTAAGGAGCAGCTGGTGGGTTTGAACCACTGACGATACAGTTAGCAGTCCAGCGCTTATCCTATAGCTCCATACCAGGACTCCAAAAATGGAAACAAGTACTACTTGTTGTTGTTGTTAAATGCCGTGGAGTCGGTTCCGACCCATAGCGACCTGTACAGGGTTTCTGAGGTTGTAAATCCTTACGGGAGCAGAAAGCCTCATCTTTCTCCCACAGAACAGCTGGTAGTTTCAAACTACTGACCTTGCGGTTCGCAGCCCAATTCGTAACCACTACACTACCAGAGCTCCTTACTACATAATACCACAATGGTGGTGGTGCTATGCCGTGGAGTCAGTTCCAACTCACAGCAACTCTGTACAAGGTTTCCAAGGCTGCAAATCTTTATGGGAGCAGAAAGCCTCATCTTTCTCCTGCAGAGCAGCTGGTAGTTTCGAACTGCTGACCTTGAGGTTAACAATCCAAGTTATAACCACTACGCTACCAGAGCTCCTTACCACAACAGTACTACTGTTTTATTTCTCCTAAAATATTTTCTCCTTCTATAATCCCTAAGTCCTGGTGTGGCGTTGCGAGTTAATATAAAGTCAGTTTGAACTGCAATGTCGGTGGTTCAAGTTCAACCGCTGCTCCTTGGAAACCCTGTACAGGGTCACTATGGGTCAGAATCAAATCGACAGAACCCAACATCAATATACTCCCATAACCCTTGGGTCAATGAACCTAAAGGACGGTGGTTCAAGCTTACCAGCTGCTCCTCAAAAAACCTACATAGGGTCACTATGAGTTGAAACTGACTAGACGGCACTTCAAAACAACAACATGCTCCCATTCACTCTTTTCTCTCTCATATTCTCAAACAATCATACACAAACAGACATAGTTATGTTACCTAAGCATGCAGCAGCACCAACCATGGCATAAAGACCAGGGGTAATACAATCGGCTCCAACTTCACACCACTCCTTAAAGATAAACCAATCATGGTGATAGTATGCAAGCTGTTCCACGGCAATCCCCACAATCCTTCCTGCAATTGCTCCAATGGCCATGCTGGGGATGAATAAGCCTGATGGAACCTGAAAGAATGATAACAGAACTCTTAATGAGGCAGATCCTCCAGTTACAAGCTTGAAACCTATATTCCAGGGATTTGTGCCTAACATGTTTGAACCTTTTCATATTTTATTTATATAGTAAAATCTCAATATAAATAATTATTGTTGTTGGTAGATACCAAAATTTTATTATCTTCATTTCTACTATTCCCTATAGCAGAGAGATAACTCAAGGGATACTTGTCCTTTAAGTTGGAGGTTCCCAAATGTTAGCCCCTATTAAAAAATATTGTTGGTCAACTTAAATAATGAAAGAAAAAAAGGAGGGATAATGAGAAATGTTTTGGGCTTAAACTTTAAAATTTTTTATTGCAAATAGTGAGAGTTTATAGACGAGATCATCAGGTTTACATTCAGCAAATCATACACTTTGTTCCCTCTCAATTATTGCAATCTCCTCCATGCAACAGCAGTTCTCCCACTTCCTCCCTTGTGGTCCCTATTTCCATTCCACTCACCTTCCCATTCCTTATCAGCTTTGTTCTTAGGTAAATGCTGCCCTTCTGATTTTAAGTGATTGACCATTCCATGGTGAGCATACCTTACCAATGTTTTTGTCTCCCTGCAGCATCAATGGGCTCAACCATGGCAACACTAGTGAGGCTGGCCCAGAATTGGGCAGTGTTCCATTCTGCTGTGCGTAAGGTCACTATGAGTTGGTACCGACTTGATGGCACCTAACAACAACAATACACCTATCTGGAGTCCTGGTGTGGCTCTGTGGGTTAATGTACCAGACTGCAAAGTTGTTTGAACTGCAAGGTTGGCAGTTCCTCAGAAACCCTATACAGGATCACTATGGGTCGGAACTGACTTGACAGCACTTAACAACAACAACAGACACCTATTTACTGCTTGGCTAAAATTGGGCTATAAGGGTGGGTTCCTTTCCAGACCTGAATGTCAAGGGTCACACTCAGGTTCCCCTAGTATTTTTCTCAGCAGTCAGCCCAGTCCTTTTTTTTTTCAAGTATATATAATTCTGAGTTTTGTTATCAGAAGTATTTTTATTAAAGAAAATCTAATCAATTTGAAGGACTCCAAGATATATCCTCACTACAAACTTACTAAACAGAAAAATTAGATGTTACTCTTCGTAACACCATTCATCTGTCAGTCTATTGTACTGTGATGACTTGCATGTTGCTACTATGACAAAGATATTTCCTACTAGTAGGATCACCCATGTTACACAGACTACAGCAAGCAATTCAAAACTAAGACTAAGAAAGACTTCTAAAAAATCTTGGCTGGTGAGAACCTTATAAATAGCAGCAGAATCACTTTGATACAATGCCAGATGATGAGTCCCTCAGATTGGAAGGCACTCAAAACAAGACTATATGCAAGAGCTACCTCCTCCTACGAGAATCTATCTTAATGATGTGGATGGAGTAAAGCTTTTGGAAACACCATTTGCTGATGTAGCAGGACTTAAATTTAGAGCAGTTGTAAACATTATTAATCAAAAAGTGGAATATAATTAAGTATAAAGATCAGACTGGAAGCTGCCAAAAATAAAACGGAATGCTTGAAAATAAACATCCTAGGTATTAGTGAGCTGAAATGGACTGATGTTGATCATTTCAAATCAGATAATCGAGTCCTGGTGTGGTGCTATAGGATAAAGCACTGGATCGCAAGGCTAGTTTGAACCACAAGTTGACGATTTGAACTCACCAGCTGCTCCTTGGAAACTCTATAAAGGATAGCTGAGTTGGAACCAACTCGATGACATGTAACAACAACAACAACTATGCTGGGAATGACAAGTTGAAAGAGAACAGTATCACATTCACTGCCAAAAGGAACATTTCAAGATCTATCCTGAAGTACAACACTGTTAGTGATAGAATAATACCCATATTCCTACAAGTAAGACCAGTTAATTTAAGTATTACTCAAATTTATGCACCAACTATTAATGGCAAAGATGAAGAAACTGAAGATTTTTTACTAACTTCTGCAGTCTGAAATAGACCAAACATGGAATCAAGAAGAATTGGTAATTACTGGTGATTAGAATGTGAAAGTTGTAAACAAAGAAGGGTCAACAGTAGGAAAAATATGTTCTTAGTGATAGAAACAATGCAGGAAATTACATGACAAAATTTTTTAAGATCAACAACATAATAATCAGAAACAACATAAATGTGACTAGATATGTGGACCTCACCAAATGGAATATATAAGAATCAAATTGACTACCTCTGTGAAAAAAGAAGATGGAGAAGCTCAATTTCATCAATCAGAATAAGACTAGGGGCCAACTGCTCATATGCAAATTCAAGTTGAAACTGAAGAAAATTAAAACAAGTCCACAAGAGCCAAGGTAGGACCTTGAAAATAACCCACCTGAATTTAGAAACCATCTGAAGAAGAGATGTGATTGACTGAATTAAAAGGACCAAAGACCAGACAAGTTATGGAATGATATCAAAAGGTCATTAAAATGTCAGGAACAGTAGAAAAGACTAAAATGGATTGTCAGAAATGACTCTGAAACTTGAAAGTAGAGCAGTTAAAGTGAATGGAAGAAATAATAAAGTAAAAGAGTTAAACAGAAGGTTTCAAAGGGCAGTTCAAGAAGACAAAGTAAAGTATTGCAATGAAATGTTCAAACACTGGGGCTAGAAAACAATAAGAACTTATTTCTCAAGCTGAAAGAACTGAAGAAAAAATTAAAGCCTCAAGCTACAGCACTGAAGGATTCTATATAGAAGATACTGAACAACACAGGAAGTATCAAAAGAAAATAGAAAGAATAATATCACTACACTAAAAATTAGTCAATGTTCAACCATTTCAAGAAGCAACATATGGTTGAGACACCAAAGATAGTGAAGGAAGAAGTCCAAGCTGCATGGAAGGCACTTGAGAAAACCAGATTTTCAGGAATTGATGGAATACCAACTTAGATGTTTTCAACAACCAGATGCAATGCTGGAAGTGGTCACTAGTCTCTGCCTAAGAAATGTGGAAAATAGCTACTTGTTCAACCAACAGTAAGAGATCTGTATTTGTGCACATTCCAAAGAAAGGTGACACAACAGAGTATAGAAATTGTTAAAACAATATCATCAATATCATACAAAAGCAAAAGTTTTTGGAAGATAATTAAAAATGGTTACAGCAATACATCAACAGGGAATTGCCAGAAATTCAGGTTGGATGCTGAAGAAGATGTCAAATGAGGGATATCAGATGGATCTTGCCTGAATGCAGAAAAATACCAGAAAGACGTTTACCTGTGTTTATTGACCAAGTGGGAGTGTAGTGGTTCCATAAAATAAGCACTGGACTATGAACCACATGGTCCACGGCTAGAGTTCATCAGCTACTCCACAAGTAGAAAGATGATGCTTTCTGCTGCCATGAATCTATAAAGCCTCAGATACCGACAGCACTTAATAGCAACAACACTGACCATTTAAACACATTCAATGATGTGGATAAAACTGCAACAAACAGAATCCCAGAACACTTCATTGTGCTCATGTAGAACCTGTGCATAGACCAAAAGCAGTTATTTGTACAAAACAAGGAGATACTGTATGGTTAAAAATCAGGAAAAGTTTGTATCAGAGTTGTATCTTTCCATCATATTTATTCAATGTGTATGTTGAGCAAATGATCCAACATGCTAAACTGGCACTGTACAATAAGCAATGGCCTGCGAATTACAAGGTTAGTGGTTCAAGCTCACCAGCCACTCTGCAGGAGATAAAAAAGACTTTCTGCTCCAGCAAAGATGTACAGCCTAGAAACTCTATATAGGGTTGCTATGAGTTGGAACTAACTTGAAATACTTAACAACAAAATTATATGAAGAAGAATGTGGCATCAGGATTAGAGGAAGACTTGTTAACCTACAATATGCAGGAGTCATGTTGTGGCATTGTAGGATAAGCACTGGACCACAATATCAGTTTGATCCAAATTATTGGTGGTTCAAAACTCACCAGCCACTCCTTGGAAACCCGATACAGGGTTGCTATGAGTCAGAATCTACTCGATGGTACTTAACAATATGCAGATTACACAACTTTCCTTGCTGAATGTGAAGAGGACCTGAAGCACTTACTGATGAAGATCAAAGACTACATACAGCCTTAAGTATGGATGATACCTCAAAATAAAGAAAATAAAAATTCTCACATATGGAGGCAGGGCTTGATGACGGATAAGGTAGAAGTGCAGTGAAGACCTTCATCCACAATAACACAGAATACCAGGTGAAACAGGTTCAGGGGTAGCTCCAAAACTCTGAACCACATATATAGGAATATTTTAAAAGTTTGAAAGCTTATAGCTAGTAGAACTTGTAGGGGAAGTAAGAAATCTTGTACTTTCGAACCCACGAGGCTAAGCGGCCCAGAGCCGACAACTTGGGTGAGACCAAGCGGCGAAACCAAACGGGGGAGTGAACAGACCCACCACAGACTGACACCTGTGGGAACCTTGAATATAAAGGTATGGGCATTATTTTGTTTTGTTTTTTTGGTATCTGTTCATTGGCCTCTCACTGTCTGCACACCTCCATTCTGGTGACTAGAGGGGATGCCTGAGCAAGTGGACACCCCTTTACCCCCAAAACTGTAGGGATCTACTACGCATGAGCACAGACCTCCTCAAATTTAAGAGGAAGAATCCACACAAAACTAAACGGCAGCACAAAACAGCCACAGCAGGCCCTGAATTGTTTATCACTAGGAAACAGGCCTGAAAGGAGTTTGTGGAGCAGGAGAAAAAGACTAAAAAATGAAACAGGCCAAAAACTAAATCCTGAGTGACACTGTAAAACGGTGACATCTTGATATTTCTCAGGTGGCTTAGAAGGCAAGAAGCTGAAAGAGGATATTAAAGTCATACTCATATTAGCTTAAGAGATTTTTTTTTTTCCCTCTCTCTTCTGCAATTATAGACTACAGTATCCAATCTGGGTTTTTTGCTGTTGCTGT